TTTAGTTTTGCAAAGTTAAATTCTCAAACGTGTAAAGGCCGACACAGACCGGACGCGTTCGGCAACGCGACGCGAATTTTCAGTTTTCAAAAACAAATAATACCGTCAACGGATAAAAATTTTACAAGGAATGCAGACCAAATAGCTAAAATTCGCCCCCTTTTGAGAGGGGAGCGAATCTCCTGCGGGGGCGGGGGGGGGACAAAAGTCCTGTGACAACGGCATGGGCAAATAGCAGTACATTTTTAAAAATTCTATCTTGCCCCCCAAAAATATGAGTTTGCCCCTCAAATGCCCCCCAAAATTCTGAGGCCTGGCGCCATCACTGAGAGGGCCTTTGCTCGAAACGTCAAAGTTCTGCTTGTGTAATTAATGTAGTTGTATCTCTCTCAATCCATAGCTTTCTTGTTATCATCACTACCTATACTGGCACAGACCATTCGAGATGACATCACATGGGCATGGGCAGATAGTTGACCAGCTCATTTTGAAAGTGGGCAGGCAAAAATATTTAATTAACCCATTAAGCTGCAGAGCTTCGCGATTGACGAGTAAAATCATCTGGCATTAGACAATAGGTAGGGCGCACTGGGGCTCAATGGGTTAACTAGAGGTATTGTCAGATTTTTTGGTTAAGCTACGTTTACACGCTGCGATTTATCGTGTACGATTCGTATTCTGGCATATGAAATTTACTGCTGACGCCACAATTCCTCTTCATTCAGATTATGGCGAAATTTGAAATACAACCACTTTACACGTCCTTATTCAATTACATACGCTAGAATATGAATCGTACACGACAAATCGCAGCGTGTAAACGTAGCTTTAATTAAACAAACAATCAAAACTCCAGTATTTTGCCTTTATTCTTTTCTATATCATACAAATTTTAAGCTTGCTAAAATCTGTAATAATAGATGCATACATTTCGACTGCACAGGCCACAATTACAAAACTCATTGGGTAAACCAGTGGCACAGAATAAGGCACACAGAAGGGCCACCCTGGCCGCCATCTTCCTAGCCAGTCGATTACATTTTCTGGCCAATAAACGCGCTGTATTGGCTGGCCGCCATCTTCCTGGCCAGTCAATTGCATATTTTAGCATAGAAAAATGGTGACATGTTGCACCGCTGAGTGGCCCTTCTGGTACTGATCTTTATTCTGTGCCAGTGGGGTAAACTACGAACCCTGGCTATAAAGTCCCTGGCACCCAGCACTCTCCCCTCAACAAGGGAAATCATCTGGAATATTAGACAAAGTAAAATAATAAAGTAGGGCACAATGCAACTCATTGGTAGATATGCTGTGATCGCATGATAGCAGTATCCATATATCAATATATCACGACATTATGCAACATGCAATTATTGCGCAATTTTACAGCATACACTATTCCAAAACAAATAATTTCATAAACGACTATATAAAATCGAAAAATAAATAACCCTTTTTAAAACATAATTAATTCATAGCAGCTACTATTAATACACACAACGAACTCTATCCCACAAAGAAAATTAACTGTATTTAAACGATGTACTGCACATGCACTCACCAAAGCACCAGCGAAAGCATGGACTAGGTTCTTTTGAGTCAGTAGCTGTCTTAAAAAGTCTGGAACCTCGCCAAAATGTAGCAGGGATCCTAGCACGCCCAAATTCATCGGTTTTGAAATGATAGTCATGATTAATGTGATAAAAATTGGTCCCAATATCGGCCCGGTGAAGAAGACAACGAAGCGCTCCTGATATGCCACAATGGCGCTGAACAGTAGAACCGCACTTACTGAAAATCAATCAACACGCATCCAATACGTTTGAGCTGTCATTGTTTGTTCCGATTTATAAATAGTGTCAAATTTCACGAAGGTATAAAAATTTATCAAAGTACAGTATAGCTTCAATAGTTATAAATTTTTTAAAATGGTGTGAAAAATTCAGATATCATATTTGCATGCACATACATTGAATCACAGATTGAATGTACGGCCCATTGTCTCAGGCCAAAACTCCCATCCTTTGTCCCTCAATCAATGCCATGGCCAATGCTGAGTTGCTGGAAAAATATGGGTGTGGTTGTATACATTTTCAACTAAATATACTAGGCACCTTCCAAAATTTGCTTGATTGCACACACAAGACCATTGTATGAGGTCGTCTAGACATCCTTTAAGGCTTGATCCCTTGCCATAATAATGTCTGTGATACAAGCTCAGCTGGTATTAAATTAAGAGGTCCAGATTCAGTGGCGTGCTGGGTACTAATTTTCTGGGGGGGCCAGTGGGCTTTCAACTATTATGCGCCCCTATATTGTAACGCTTGATAAACGAGTGTCGAAGGCACGAGCCGAGCGCCGCAGGTGCGAGGTTTCTCTAGGGGGGTCCGGGGGCATGCCCCCTTGGAAAATTTTTGAATTTAGGGTCTCTGAAATGCTATTTCCTGGACTTTGGGGGGAAGGTTTGACAAAAATCTGATGGTCAGGAAACGGCATTATAACGTGTTGAAATTTGCAATTTGGTTAGAATTTAGTAGTAGTACTTAAATTGGCCAATTCTATTCTCTACTGATCTGTATGGTGATCTGAATACATTTACAACATACAGCTCTTTTATACAATAACACACGGATCCCACGCATATGCACTTTAAGGTTACCTTGCTTGACTGCCAAAAGGGCGCGTTTCAGCATTATCTTATCACTTACATTACTCATGAGTCATGATGTTTCTTGCACAAACAACTAAATTGCGTACACAACTTACATTATCATAACATAACTATCTAATTTGCGCCGCCCTCGCGATTCGTGAAGCATAATACCTTCATAATATAAGAGCATAATACCAGCAAAAAAGGGCATAATTCCCGTGATCGCTTCGAAACCTGACCAATATTCCGATAATGAGACATTGTGTGTGATCACTGATCATGTTTCTCTATGAACGATTTTGTGTGAGCCGTGAAGTAGCAAATTAGCAAATACGGTTAGACCAAATAGTCTGTAATTTAATATATCACTTTGTCGTCTATGCTCTTAGTCTCGATCTGTTTATAAGCCTATATAAATATATACTTCTTGACGGAAGTAACTATATTTTTTCAAATGCGTTTCCCCCCCCCCACTTTCAAAATTCCGCACGGGACGGCGCCCCCTTTTCATTTTTGCGCCCCCCAAGAATTGCCAGCTGGGGGGCCGTGGCCCCCCCTGCCAGCACGTCACTGTCCAGATTTGACATTCACTTACAGATACCTCTCAATGGCTCAGTAAATATATATCTGATTTGTTGATCGGGTACATTGACTACATTTAATGCATCTGATTGGTGTACTGGTAACTAAAGTCCAATCTGAACATCTCTAATGATTTAACCCTTTAAGTGGCAATGCACCCCACTTTATTATTTTACTTTGTCTAATGTATTGCCAGACAATTTTACTCGTCAGGGGGAGAGTTCTGCCACTCAATGGGTTAATTAATCAGACTATCTGTCCATTGCACCCTGAACTAACCCTTTAGGTGGCAATGTGCTCCACTTTATTATTTTACTTTGTCTAATGCCAGAAGATTTTACTCGTCAGGGGGGAAGTATAGGCGTTCGGGGCGGGCAGTTGGCCCCCTCCCAGATTGTTGGGCAGACTTAAGGCCAGTCGGGCAATATTTGCTTCACAGTCGGGCAATATTGGCTTATTATAAAAACAAATAGGGTAAATTCTCTCAATATTGGGGGAAATATGCTATATAATAGTCGAAAATGGAGGGAAAATATAAAAGTTATAATAAACCATGATACATTCCAAAATTTTGAGTGGAACGACTAAGAGCTGTAACAAACTGATTAATGTCAATTTCGTACTTCCCAGGTTTGCATTTGTAGAAGACGATACCTTTAATTCCATCCCAGTATGAAAGGATTAGAATTAAGTTTTTTCAAGCGACCAACGCAGGACGATTCCTAGTCCTGAAGAATAAACTCAGTGCCCTACATTGAATACCCTCGAGACAAAGCAGACGATTAGGCAACCTCGCTCGCAGGCTCTTACCTCTTGTGGAGGAAAGAAAGACCCTGTACACATTGTACTATATTATGCATGGGGCAGCATGGGAGTCCAAATACATTTGCACATAATAAACAAACTTTATTCAAACTACAGTAGTGCAGGGAGAAATTGCTTCAGCCTCTCCTGGCATTTTTATTGACCTCCTAGACTAAACATCCTGGCTACATCAATGTAAAGCATTTAAATCCAGTGCTCAAGTCAGATCCGGCTACCAGAACTGCACATATAGGGATGTTACGAAGGCAACAGGTGTTTGACTGGGGGGGTCGAAGGATTTTTTACCTGCCTATAGGTGACAGAATAATGGTGTAGTTGGGTGAGAGAATTGGAGAAAAGCCAGACAAACTCGATTTTGGGGCCGGAGCTAGGGGGTGTTCCTCCAAACAATTTGAATCTAGAGGCTCTTAAGTTCTGAAAACATGTAACTGGGAATCATGGATATTCAATATATAACAACCTTAAACTTGCATTTGAGGCAGCAAAGAATATTAGGTTCTCCCAATCTCTTTTGGGGAAAAATCCTGGGTACGAGGTTGCGCTCGCCCCAATTTTACCTTCTTTCCATTACCCCAGCACGTAAGTGATTTGTGAGGAAAATAGGAGGGTCCGGAGTCCTCCCCCAGAAAACGTTTATATTTTTGATGCTCAATTAATGACAGCATTTCTGGAATTTTCTGGAGCATCCACAAGGGTAACGAGTAAATGAGAAGTTTTTTTTTAATTAAGGCTATTTTAATTAAGGCTATTTTTGTTAGTTTGGTGACTGCACATTTGTGTTTTAAGAACTGCACAAATGGGTTTAGAACTGCACAATTTGTGTAGAACTGCACGTTAAAATAAACCCTGCCGGCTACAACAGATAAATAGCAAGGTATTTGATTTCCTGAAGAGGTTGTAAGAACTGAAGAGGTCAAAAGACAAAAATGTGTATTTTTATAGTCGCATAGTTCGTTTTTATTAGGATTTAAATCATTTTTCAAATGTTCAATGACTAGTATTTTTAATTAATCGCTTCATCGAGTGTCATAAGCCAAACATATCAAACAATTTGTAGAATTGAACACAAAATTTGACTTCCAACTACCATAAGGGACCATCAACCAATGAGATGTGTTCAATCTGCCAGATTATCCAATCAGATGCATACTAAGCGAGTAAAAGGTAGCAGTAGTGGAAGTCAAATCCAAACCTCACTAATATTGTTTCTGAGTCAGGTTATATCACCCCCCCCCCCTCCTCTATAAAACATCCTATTATCCATCAAATAATATGTTCCAATATACCCTGTCTTATTAAATGTTCACAATCTGCCCGATGTAGTAAATGCTGTGAGTTTTTCTTCAACAAAACAACATTCCCGTCCTCGGTTTCAAATTCGCCATAATCCACCAGACATCGCACTTCAATATACAGCGACTTTGGCGGTTTACTATCCTGAGTAATGTCTATTCCAACAGATCTCATATACTTGGCTAAACTTCGATTATATCTGCCAAACCAGCTCAATTCGTGCTCGTTTAAGTTATTTTTAACGTCGTCAGGCAAAACACTGCCAAAATCCCATCGCATATCGCGTATTTTTTCCATCCTGTTGTATACATAAGCTAGAAGACAGCGTTTGTTTCGTTCGAGGCTCGCATGTCTCAGTTGAACGCCAGCAATTCGACCGCCCTCGCCTGCCACTGTAGCACTGACATCTTTCTGATTCTGTTCAAATAATGCTTTCATTTCATCCAGTACTTGTCGCATACAGTCTTCGTTGTAAGGAGGAAGCGAGCCATCTCCAGAACGCTTTAATTCTTTCACAAGTTCCAACGCTTTCTCCCCAAACATTGCAAAATTTTTGGCCTTTTGAAGAATTATTTATTCTTTTGTTGATTTTCCGATTTTTTCCCGCGAAAAATTTTGGATTGCACTTCCGGTGTTTCCACTTGCCCAGCCTGAGTTTCAGGCAAAATGGACTGGTAAAATCTCGTACCAAATACCCCTGGTCCCCTACACCCCTAATACTTTATCCCGCCAGATACAGCTGAAGTATCACCCATGAAACTACAGTACCCTTACACAAAAGCGACTTCGGAGGAGAAAAATCGAGTAGCGTCAAAAAATCGAGTAGCGTCAGGAAGTGAAAAAAGTATCGGGCTCAATGAAAATCTCCCTGCCCCCTCCCATCCCCCAATCAAATATCAAACCGAGGTTTCTTAATATGGACCGAGCGAGGTCCATGCTAGAAAACAGATGTCTGATATTTCACAGTACAGACCGAACAAGCGAGGTCAATAATCGGTTTATTGTATGTCTTGTATGGCTAATTTGACCCGATCCGAAATTCTATTGCAGTTTGACACTTGATAGTGTGAAAAATTATAAAGACCTGCAACATCGAACATTCCTCAAATTTTCAGCGTCACACAGCCACAGGAGTCAACACCTCATGTGTTGATCTTGTGACTGTCTCAAGGTATTAATATCACGATTGTTTGCCGAATGCTTCACTGATTTCAAAATGTCTGAAGTAGTAAGGGACCGGTCATTATTTATGGTGGGGGGTGGCACCGAAGAGAAAATGGTTGGGTAAACTAAATTTTGAGTAAGTAAAAGGTTGGGTAAATGAAAAACAAAACAACTCAAGGGTTGGGTAATAAAAAGTTATAGTCATATGTCAATACAATATGTGAATCAATCAGTCACTGTCTTGATCATTTTCCAATTTGTTAGAAGACAAATGGTGTCTCCAAAGAAAGCACGTGTGCAGACATGATACATTAGACTGCAGCAAATTTCACAAGCAGTTATCAAACTCCTGTCACAGAAATCGGGTAAAGGACATATGTGGCAACTGAATGGTAACCTTTTGTAAAGTTTAATTTTGGCCAGGGGTGGGTATTTATTTTTTACTTGATATTTGAGGTTGGGTAATCAAATTTTTGACTTTTTAATGGTTGGGTCAGCAAAATGTTTGCCACGAAAAACATTTCTCTTCGGTGCCACCCCCCACCATAAATAATGACCCGTCCCTAACCGGTGTTGTGAAACTTACATTTGAATTTTTAGCGAACAAGATTCGCAGTGGAATTGCAGAACGTTTGAAAGATGGCGACGTCACGGACGAAAAATGTCGGCGCTTGATCGTCCGAGAACTTGACGATATCAAAAGCAAGTTGGACGGTTTGGCGAGAAAGGATTTACTGAGTAGCCTTTGTTTTCTACAAGAAGGAGTGAATGGACTACCTCAGTCCCTACTTCAAGTGGATTCAAGTGAGAATACAGCAGAATCGACCGGTCAAGCGAGCTTACTTGAAGCTGCGTTATCCAGAGACACTGGTCCTGATTCTCCTATCAAAGAAGGCATTGCTCTTATAAATGCCATGACGTCATTGAAAATACGTTCAAACGACCGCTTCAAGTCTGCCATAGAATCGTTCAAACTCGCGCGTGAAAATGTTACCAAGGCATTCTGTAACGAAGCGTTGTCGATCGATGACCGAATTCAAGCGTCGCAGATCAGAATGATGGCAAGAATTTTAGAAAAATTGGAAGACCCAGAAGCAAGCGCTAGCGATTGCTTGCAGTACCTTCAACAGCTTCATGATATCGGAGCTATTCGAGAAATATTTTCCGTTCTGATTGACGGAGGAATCAAGTCAAGGTTCAATAAAACGAAGCGACTTAACAACGCCTCGTCAGTTCAAGTCATGAATCAAGTATTGTTTGAGTTCGTCAAAAAGTATACGAAACCGTCATTGGTCCCAAGGATTTCTGCCTGGCCGTCGATTTTGCTCGGTGAAAAAACTTACCATCCCGTGCTTGGAGAAGATCGCATTATTGAAAAACTTAAAGGGTCTGGTATGCAGGTAATGTCACTGGGTTCAGATTTTACATTTGGTGATAAAATTTATTATTCTGGATATTATTCTGTTGTGAACAGCAAGGGAGACATCGTTTCAGTGACGCAGGATGAACGTACTTTTAAGGTTTTTAAACGTTCAGGGGAAAGTCGTATTCTATGTGAAATTTCCGGGGGGAAGACTATTCAAAATACATGGATAGGACGGATATCGATGCTGAAGATAACCTATATGTCATCACTTCATCCCGAGAAGGCGATGCCGATGATCGATCATGGAGTTTTAAGTTGTCTGTCTTTGATGAGAATGGAAACAAAACTTGAGTGTCCATTACCTTTTCATCTAAGCTCTACAAACAGACGGTGTACATGGCAATAAATTAACAAGAACGGAAAGATCGCTATTTTAGATCGCAAGGGGAAAATCCTGTATATTGGTAACATATGTGTTGAGCTGAATTCGTTTAGAGTCGACAAAAGTCTTTCTCTCAACGAATTATATGTCGGGGGCTATTCATCGCATGTGAGCATAAGATTCTCAGATTTTAATGGAACAAAAATAATTGCCGCAAATGACGATACTGTTTATATCTACACAGAAGACGGGCAATTATAACGCAAAATTAAGCTACCCGAAGAACATGATTATATTCAATCGGTTGCAATAAATCATGTCACAAAACGTATTCTAGTTAAAACGCCGTCAAGTCTGCTGAGTTTCTCAGAAACTGGAGAACTGGTAGACAATTTATGTTTGGGACGGAATAGAGAATGGATTAGACTAGCTCAGCTAAAATCTCACCCAAATGGCCCAGTTGCTTTAGTTAGTTATACAGGAGCAGCTTTACTTCAACTGTAGTATAAAACCACTTACATGAATGAATGAAAATTATGTTGAAAAATGAGCTGAACTTATTACAGTCATGAACATTAAACAGATGCGTGGTAGAGCGCACTGATTATAGCTTTGCCTTTGAGTCTTATAGATAAAAATAGATCGCTTTTTAAACACAATATATTCATCAAAAGACAGCGAACAGTGAATAATTAAGTTGATGAACTAAATTGAACTTAATTAATTAATTATTTGGAGTATAGTTTTGTCTTTGTAATTTTTGTGTTTAAAAATATATCGCTAATCAAACACAATATATTAATAAAATACAGCGAGATATAAAGACATAGATGGGGCCAGGTATAACAAAATGTGATACACTATGTTTCTGGTAGTAACTTCGGATCATCATTAGGCCAAGTTGAAGCAATTAAATGTTGAACTTTTCATACACCGAACCTATTGCGAATGAGCTCAGACAACGATTGTAAAACGTATTAATAATTCATGAAGAAAATTCAAAAGCAATCAATGTTTAATGAGGTGCTATATCCACATATACAAAATTGGCTCCTGAGTCTTGATTTGCATAAACCTTTTCCCCCGATTTTCTCAGTTATAATATTTCTCTTTGAATAATTTCATAAAGCACAACTGCAGTTGAAATCCTTATATTTCACAAGCTTGATTAAAACTATTAAAACTAAAGCTATATACACTAGATTCACGTTCTGTCAATATTCCATTTTGGGCATCTCACTCGATATAACTAATTGTTGAAGGCACTAAAGGCTGATTTCTACTGTTGCGTTTTTCATACGTACGTATACGCATGCACGTAAAACTTTAAATCCGTTTAAATGTTACTTATGAAATAATCAAATAAATAAAGCAACAGAATTTAGTGTTCTGCAAGTTTTAGTATGCATTGGCCCCTTAACTTATTTGTAAAATATTTAAAAAATAGAAGGATTCAAAGTTTTACGTGCGTACGAAAAACGCAACAGTGGAAATCAGCCTAGCCTGCACGCAGGCTAAAATCAGCATTAATTGTTGAAGGGATCTATACTAAAGCCATGGGCAAACTAGGAAATATTATTGTAGTAACATTTGTGATTCTCGATGTTTCCTCAAATGTTTCCCTGTTTGCCCACCCGTGGAAACATTGTTGCGGAAACAAAATTTGCTTCCCGAGAAGCAAAAATGTTTCCTAGCGAATTCAGAAACATTTGATGTTTCCCTATGTTTCTCACTAAAGTTTCCTAGTGTTTGCCCACTCTTGGAAACATGGCGAAACATTGGTAGGAAACAATGTTTCCGCAACAATGTTTCCTAGTTTGCCCAGGGCTTAATACCTTCAACAATTAGTTCTATCGAGTAAGGCGCCCCAAATCCTGATATTTACCCATACGCCTTAAGCCCTGGGCAAACTAGGAAACATTGTTGCGGCGGAAACATTGTTTCCTATCAAAGTTTCGCCATGTTTCCCAGAGTGGGCAAACAGTAGGAAACATTAGTGAGAAACATAGGGAAACATCAAATGTTTCTGAAGTTTGTAGGAAACATTTTTGCTTCCCATGAAGGAAGCAAATTTTGTTTCCGCAACAATGTTTCCACGGGTGGGCAAACATGGAAACATTTGAGGAAACATCGAGAATCACAAATGTTTCCGCAACAATGTTTCCTAGTTTCCCCAGGGCTTTACATTGGCATCACCTTTTAGTATTTATACATGAACTTGTGGCTAGAGCTCGACAACCGTCTCTCTGTAGCTCAGTTAGTTACAGTGCTGCACCGGAATCGATGAGCCGCAGGTTCGATTCCTGTCATGCAGAGGAACAGAGGGCTGATAGTTGCATTTTTTGCAACTACTCCTGGTTAGGTGTAATAAATGTATAAACAATTCCACTCAAAATTTCCATCTACTAATCACTTTCTCATACATACATACAACCTCTCGTTTTCGGCTCGAGCTTGTATATGTCTGATACAGCACGGCCGCTCAATGGAAAGGACTTAAATGTGAAATATACAGCATACCGCCACCAGGCCAGACGTATATTTATAAGACTGTACCTAGGGCTATAGGAAATTTGGTGGATATCAACTGCCAAGTAAAGGCCCTGGGTCTGGGCTGGTTCGGCACATGATAAGAGCGACGTTTAAACTACAGTAGATCTTACATGAACATTATCATGAGTTTTTGACAGTGAAGTAGCACTTAAACTCGTTTCTCGAAACAGCACGTTGTATTATAACTGAATTAATTGAGCTACATTGCATCCCCAAATTTACTGCAATTTGGATACTAGTAGAGAAGTGCAACCACGATGAATTATTTTTCATGAAGTTCAAACAAAGGATTTATGCACAGTGAGGTACAGGTCAACATCAAGCAAAGCCCTTCTATTCTGTACCTTTGAAGTTTGCCGGGCTTCCTGACCATCATAGTCTTAACAGACTATGCAGTGAAGTGGCACCTGAACTCATTTCTCGAAACAGCACGTTATGTTAGAACTGGATTGAGCTACATTTTATCACAAATTTAATGCAATTTGGATCTGATATAAATGTTCAGATTTCACTGCCACTACCGCTATACCTCTCACAGGCTTAAAACGCATTTGATTGGTTAATCGGTATAGGTTATGAACGCATTGATTGGTTAATGTTAGCAGTAGTGGCAGTCAAAATCTGAACCTCTCCAATATTAAAATTCACGCGCCAATTCTCCTAATATTATATTAATTAACTATGATAATTTATATAGAGCTAGTCCTCTATTCTAGCACTTAAGAGTACTAACCACACATGAGGTCTTACTTGCGTGAAAAACGCAAGGTAGTTTTTACTGCGCATATCTGACGGCCATGTATATCAAGTGCCCTAAAGAGAGGCATTTACTTCCCTGGACTACATTAAATTTCAATATGTTTTCAGGGGCGTGACAGTCTCTCTTTAGGGCACTTGCTAAGAAGATGGTCATGGCGGACTGGAGAAATCCCTTACGCTAAATTTAATACGAAGTGAGACCTCTGTATGGTATATTTACTCTCTGTGATTCTGGCCAGCTTTAGCTGAGTTGGGTCCGCGAGTAAGATATTGCTTTATATGAATAAAGAAATATAATTAAAGCAGAAATGTCAATCAAAATGTATACGTCGTAGGTACAGGTATAATATGTATATATCTATATAGTGGGTCATGATTACAAGTTCGTGATAGAATATAGGTGATTAAAGATAGACTGTCAGTACGAGGTTGCATTGGCAAATGATTCTGTGATTTGAACGGTGTGTTGAATCATATGTTGTTGTCACATTGACTATCTTACGACATTGCAAGCAATATTTCAGTTGTTTGTATGATCAGGTCAGATACTTTTGATGTATTGAAATAAGTCACGGTTATTGACTCGGAGAAATTTTGTTTATTTTAGGATACAGAGTAGACGGAAACACTGCGACAGTAATCCAGTTTATAAGGAAATTATAATGAAGTTACAACATAAGTAACTCTCATCAACAACATTTTAGTAGCGTTAAATAATAAATATCGTTTGACTTTTGTATTACACATGCTGACTTATTTCAATGCATTAAAAACATCCCATTATGTGGCAGTTTACCTCCCACATGCATAATGATTTATCAGAGAATGTTACATAACTGTCTGTCGATCAAATAAAAAGGGTGAATTGCGCAGATCATATAAATGTGTGTCGTTTCCTCCAAAATAAACTTTTCGATTCTGAACTGAGAATTACATTTGAGAACAAGTAAGATACTCAAACTTTTCTTGCAAGGCTGGCTGTTATGGTTATGTCACGTGGTCTTAATTGCGTGCCAAACATTGTTGCAGTCTTAAAACAAGGCAAAGAAACTAATGTCTATTAGACTATAAGACAAGTTATTTTATAATACTGAAATATCTTCTAAATAAGATTATAAAACACAGTATATTCATATCAACAATCCAAATTGTATTATCAGCCCAACATTGACTTAGTGCTGGGTTTTTAGTTTGAATATGAGACGATAATAAAATATTCGTATTTGAATGAAAATCGATGTCATACAGGGTCATGCATGCCTGTGTTGATCTAGCCTGCGTAGCAGGCGTTTAGTGCGTGCGGGAGAAGAAATGGCGTCGTTTGAGGAAACGCCTGCCCAAATGGCTGGCATGTTGTAAAAGACGGACTGGACTGGACTGGACTGGACCGGACTGGACTGGACTGGACCGGGAAAACGCGGACTGAGTCCGTGTTTTACAAATCGCGGACTGAATTTGTAAAACACGGACTGGACTGGACTGGACCGGGAAAACACGGACTGCGTCCGTGTTTTACAAATCGCGGACTAAGATTTGTAAAACGCGGACTGAGTCCGTGTTTTACAAATCGCGGGTTGCAATTTGTAAAAGGCGGACTCATTTCCTGACAAACATCGAAGTGACTCAGTCGTAAAGATTTTGGCGGGAATTTGCACTCAGTCGTGAGAGTTTTGGCGGGAATTGCGGATAATAGGTCGGTCAAGGAATAATCATATCCTGGACCTAAGGTTGGTAGAAATTACTATTATTTATTTATTGTTTTGAATAAACTGATGAACAGCGTTCAATCTTAGGAGCACGCTCTATCGTGTGGGACTTTGTGCCACTATTGTCGAGGAAACTCGTGCGTATAATATCAAATGTGGCCGTTTCATGTAAATATAGTTGTATGCCGACTGCATAGATATAGCTAGGGGCGATAACCCCCCCCCCCCAATACGAATCATGTGGATTGGCAGGGCAATCAAAGATTTTAAATGATAGAATGTAGAGTTAAGTAATTTACAGGGCTTTCAGAGGGAATTTACAGAATTTATATTCGGGTCCAAAAATAAGGGTTTAAGCCATGTTTTAACAGGAATTGGCAGACACCCCCCGAATTAAAAGGGGCTAGTTTCGCCCCTGGGTCAGTATAGCTCTTATAGCAGATACCATTTAGTATTATTCATAATTAGCCTTAAACTGATAGAGTTAATTTGTTTATTTTGTGTTCGTGGCGAAGAGAGTGTATTACACCCGTTTTCAAAATTACGCGACCAAGGTCGAAAATCTCTGGTCGAAAATGCTAGAGTTGACATGTCAGTTTTATGTCATTCGGTCACGAAGTTTAAACTTTGAGTTTTCCCGTTCCTTGTCGATGTATATGCTTATTATGCTTTATATAAATAGGCTTACAATGATTTTCAAGATATTTTAGTGCGAATTATTGCAAAATTTAAGCACAAACAAAATCATATAAACATCACCGTTATAGTCTACCGCGCGTATTTTAACTGACAGCTAAATTCCAGGATAAATTGTTAGTTTTCAAACTTTAAAAGTTATTCACGACATATATATTTCTGTTGTGATGGTTTGTATTGTGCTTTAGTTTGTATATCTAAGTTATCTAACTCAGCGGCGGCGGAACAGATTTACAGCCTGGGGGGGCTAAATTTTTTTCCGTGACCCCCCCCGTCGCCAAAAAAATTTCGGTCAGTGTACCATTTTGGGGGTACAAAAATTTTTCCGGACATACACAAGAAAAGGGATGAAAAAATTTTTTCCGCACACATAACAAAACATTTTTCCGTAAATACACAATTTTTGAACAAAATACGGCAAATTTTTCCCCTTATACATAAATTTTCAAAAATTAACCTAAATTTTTCCTTAATTATCAAAGTTTTCCAGAAAAAACTAAATTTTCTGGGGGGGCTAAGCCCCCCCACTTTTACTTCTGGGGGGCTTTAGCCCCCCTAGCCCCCCCTGTTCCGCCGCCCCTGAATTCTAACTCATTTTTGTTCAGTTTTGGTATTAAATACGGTTTAAAATGTCTTTTGACAGTTTGTTTACGTTTGCTATTTTTAGCAGTTTTCGTGACATAAAACTGACATTTGAAGGGGAAAGTACAAAACATGGACCCCCAGTCCATGGACCCCTTGTCTGGACCGGGTCCATGGACCCCTCTATGGACCGGGTCCATGGACCCCCTCCATGGACCGGGTCCACGGATGCGCGATTTTTCAATGACCCCATCTATATATGAATGAATGTTAACAGGAATTTTGAATACACCTGAAAATAAATAAGATAATAAATAAGAAAATAAATAAGAGAAAACAAATTTACTTGCAAGGTCAAAATGTTCTATGCAGTAATTTGTTCCAAATAACACTTATACATCCAGCTGGCTAGTGCACAGCTCACAAAAATGTATTAATCGAAGCAAATCAAATTGCTGATTATGAACAGTGCCTTTAGTAGACCACTTTCATAAAGAGACAAATTGAAACACTTTTTTGTATATTGAAGCAAGAAGGCTAATTAAGATGCACAATCAATGAAAGTGGTTTATTATTTCAACACTTTGCTGGCAGTGGTTTCTTTAATTTCATAGGCTGTGATCATTGACCGGCTT